TACACCGGCCGATTTAGTTACAGCTGTCGTTACAGAATTGGCTATTTTACCATGCACCAGCGTTCCTGTTATTCTACGAATTAAACCATCGGAAATTTAAACTTATCTGAATATAATTATTGCTTTTATATTAACCATGTATATTACATGGTGGTAAAGAAACATCTATCAAGTCTAATTTCATTTATTTGAAATTAGATTTATTCGACGATTGATACATACTATACGTATAATAATATAATAATATTGTACTTATATAGATTATGAACTCAAAGGGAAACAAGAAAAAGGAAAATGAAGTAGTAATAAAAATAATTAAAAAATTCGTATTTATTGTATTCATTCACTACATTATTATAATCGTTCATGTGTCATTTAAAAATATATTATGTTATATACTTTTGAATACAATTTTTTAATTTTAATAATTATAGATATGATATTATTAAGTAATTATAAATAATTTAATCATAAGATAATACTTTATTTAAAATATTTAAATACACATATTTGCGTTTTGTAAAACAAAACAATACGTATATGTGGCGCCTCGCGCCGAGCAGCACCGTCGCCGGCGGAAGTAGACACTACAGCTGAGAATTGAATTTCACATTGTTTACAACATTGCCATTCCTGTATTTCCTCGCTAAGCTAACCTTATTATGATTGTTTAGTGGTTTAGTGATTTTATTTAATATTGTTAAGCGTTAAAGAATCTTAGCAGCTACAGCGCACCCTGTGATAAAACTTGATTTATTCTATATTTTGAGAATATTTTTATACATTGCGATCATTCTTATTCTCTATCTCCGTAACATTGGCTCTTCGCGGCACGTGGGGCTAACCAGATGGCCGCTTGCGCGGGAGTTAATGTTTACATCAAACCGGAAGGTAAAAGCAAAGCTGAATTACGCGCTGAAAGAAGAGCTAAACAAGAGGCACAAAGAGCTGCTAAACAAGCGCTAAAAACTGTTAAACAAGAACAAGTTGGTGAAAAAGTAAAAGTTAAAAGTAAACCAAATATTGTTCAATCAAAGACAGTTGTGACAACTATAACGAATCACCCAATAGATGATATAACGAATAGGACTATAAAGAAAACAATAAAAGATGATACGCATGAAGTAAATCTGTTTAAACATTTGTATCATGAAAGAGAACATGCTTTGCATGAAGCTACTACATCTAATTTTAATATACATCCAGCTATACGAAAACTTGGTGTACAGTACGAGAATAAAATTCTTGTCGGTAGTAACGCTAGATGTGTAGCATTTTTGGTAGCAATAAAACAGCTTATAGAAGATTTTGAGAGACCATTGAAAACTGATTTTAGTAGAGGCCTTGAAGCAAAATTGAAAGAAACTGTTTCTTATTTGCACGCCTGCAGGCCATTAGCTGTTTCAATGCAAAATGCATTGCGTCATTTAAAATGGCAAATGACTCAATTAGATTCTACGTCTACCGATACAGATGTAAATATTTCTTATTAATTTATGCTAAGTATTTCTTTT